TGGTAGTTGGAGTGCTGATAAAGGAGCGCTGCCTATTCCTGAAGATAGTCAGACAGGCCTGGCTGGCACTGGGGGGAACCCGAGAACTCAGCTTCTGAGCAGCTTGAAGCCTGATCTCTGCCTCCCACCTCCACATGCCGGCCCCCGTGTCCCTGAGACCTGGAGGCCTGGCTTGGCTGTGAATCAGTGAGGCTGCCTTTGAGCTCATACCAGGCTTATCCCAAGCATTCGGAATCCCCAGAAGCTGTGCCCGCCACCACCCGGCACTGCCCATGGAAGGCTCCAAGCATCCTGGAGGGGCGGCTGATGGGAACCCACTCTGGTGGGGAGGAACAGTCGATCTCCAGCCACTGCCAATCCTAGAGTTCCTTTATCTTCTGGGCCTGGGGCTCCCATCCAAAAAATGGAAAAAGGAGAACCTAGAACCTAGCTTCTCAGGGCAAGAGGCGTGGTCCCTGATCTCTGGACTGCGATGCCATATTTGGGGGAGACTGTGAACCCCAAGAGCCAGAATTTTGAGCCCAGACACCCCTGAGAATGAAGGTCCAGACGAAGTTAGAGCTCAGGAGGGCAGCAGCTGTTCACTGTGCCCAGCTTGCCCACCCTCCCCTCCCCTCCCCCTCCTCTCCCTCGTCCTCCTCCTCCTCCTCTTCCTCCTCCTCCCTCTCCCCCACCCAGCACCACCACATTTGGAAGGAAGGAAGGCGAAGGGAGCTTATTTATAAAAGTCACACTTAGGGAAGGAGCTGGCGCACATCCTCAGCTCTGCTGGCCCGGCCCAGCCCTCCAGCCTGCTCAGCCCCCACCTCGGCGGCTCTCCCTGGGCTCTCCCTGCCAGGTAGATAGCAGTGAGGGGGCCCTCGGGGCCTGAACACTGAGACCCTCAGAGCTGAGAAGATCACTGGGCTGCAGAGGGATTTGGGGGTAGGGTTTCCCTGGCAGCTATACCCAGGCATGCAGTGGCCTCCTCCCCCAATGCAGAGCCGCCCTGATTTTCTGTCTGGGGACTTCCTGGAGCTGACCCACCCCACCCCTGGGCCCAAAACGCTGCTCTCTATACACTGGACTCTGTAGGATGCCTGGGACCTGCCACGGGAGACAGAGGAGGAACAGGAAGGAGTTGGCTCACCAGCTGTGGTGGTGCACATCTGTAACCCCAGCACCTTGGGAGGCTGAGGCAGAAGGATCTCAAATTCAACCTAGGGACTTAGTGAGACACTGTCTCTAAAGAAAAAAATTTAAAAAGCAGCTCTGAATGCTAAGTCCCCAAGTTCAGTTCCCAGTACTGCACACGCGCGCGCGCGTGTGCACACACACACACACACACACACACACACACACACACGAAAGGAAGGACTTAGGGTGGCCTGGAAGAGGGGTGATCCAGAGAAGGGGCTGGCTTGAGGGAAGGCAGAGTATGGAATGCTCCAAGAAAAGAGAAGGGGTGCTGACATCTGGCCTCTCGGGTCCCCCAAGGACTAGAGCAGGCCCTGTCTCATGACAGGGCTCCCCTTTGCCCCCAGACCGGCACTTCACACGTCTCCTCTTGAATCTATAAAGTGCTTCCAGTATTAGCTCTATGCAGAGGAGGTAAAGACGGGGTCTCCCTCCTTCCTTCCTGGGCCCTCCCAGCGGTTCCCAGACTTCTGACAGATTCTGCACATTTCCGTCTGGGGTGCAGATGGCATGGCCTCTCTGGACTGTCTGTCCAGCCTCCTGTCGCATCAGCAGGGAGGTATGGAGAGGGCCAGGGGTTCATCCTAGGTCGCACGGAGCTCAGGGCCCGGGCGTGGGAGGCCTGGAGAGGGTTCAGGGCCCAGCCGCTTTTCTGGAGACCCAGCTCGGCCTCCTGCACTCCCTGACTCCGCTCAGGGCCTCTTGGCTCTAGCGATATTGACTTTGATTAGTCATTAAAAAGAGGAAGGGAAAAAAATAGCCCTCTGGGCAGACAACAGCACAGGGCTCAGCAGTGATGAATCAACACGCCGGCTGGCCTGACGCCATTGCCAGGGACCAGCCTCGGTGCCTCCTGGAGGAATCAGTCGCTGGCTTCCAGGAAAGTGTCCTGGAGTCCTGGGCCTCTGCCAGGAAGACCACCAGGACTGCCTGGCCATGGCCAGGGGGAGCTCAGGGCTTTCTGCTTCCAGTGGCCCTGCTGGGCCTCCTCTTCCTGCAGGTCCTTTTGGTGGGGTCTCTCCCAGCCCTCCTATTCCTGGATTGTGCAGGTGGTGAGGCTGGAGCTGGAACAGCCAGCCAGAAAGGGAGGAGACCAGACCAGTGGCTGGGGTGGGGGGAGCAGAGGGTGCTCTTGAAAACCAGCTTCATCAGCCCCACCCCCATAAATTCCTCATCAGTATTTCTAGGGTAGAATTTTGGATGCTTTTTTTTTTAAATCCCCCCAAGCACTGGTGATACAAGCCTGTAATGCCAGCACTGTGGAAGGCTGAGGCAGGAGGGTCTCAAATTCAAGTGCTGTATGGGTAATTTAGGGACTTGGCCAGAACCTGCCTCAAAATAACAATTTAGGAAGGGCTGGGGATGTAGTTCAGTGCAAAGATCCTAGGTTCAATCCCCAGTATCAAATAAATAAATATTGGGTTCAAATCTTAGAAGCCCTATAAGGGCTTCTGGTGTTGGACCAAGGTCGAGAAGCACAGAATAAGTAGCAAAACCCACCAGGACAAATTGGATGGTGGTAGGACGTGAGGAAGGGAGACTTGTAGGCCCAGGGGCACAGGGAATCCTGAGCTGGGCACTCACTGAGCCTGGCATTGGCCAGGTGGCTGGCGAGGTACCATTGTGATCCTGGCCACATCTGTCCAGAGGACACTTGAGCTCCTGATGCCACCTCCCAAGTCCTCAGCTCTGGCCCAGCCCCTTCCTGGGGCTTTGCAGCTGTGCAGATTCTTAGAGAGCTGGGGTCCTGACAGCTAGACCAAGACAGCAGGAAGGCGGAGTGCCAGGCCAGCCGTGTTACCTAGTTCCCATGAGGTTGAGACTATGGCTGGGCTGGCAGCCGGAAGGGGCGGGGCTCTGCTGTCCTGCATCCTTATCATTTCATTCAGTGTCCAGTGGAAATGCATAAAAGGCCTGCGTTCATCTGCAGGGTGTCCCAGGAGAGGTGCCACAGGGCTCAGGCCAGATGTGGATACAGTTGCAGGGAACAACAGTCAAGAGCCGTCTGAATTTCTCAAACTGAATCAAGGATCAGAACAAATGGAGAAATTAAACAGGAGAAAAAGTCCTTCATTTGAGCCCAAATCCAGCTGTACTGACTTGGTGTGGGGGATGGCTTGGGGGCTTTTCCTTGGCACGAAGCACACGATCACCGATGTGATCCCTGGCCAAATGAATGAAGACAGACCATCTAGAAAGAGGGAGGGTGAGAGTCTATTTTTGGTCTCTGCTCAGATCCCAGTCCGCAGCAGGGTCAGTTTGTGTGCTGTACTGCAGAAGACCGAGGCAGAATGGAGCAGAGTTAGGTCCCTAGGAAGAACCTGAAGGGGCAAGGAATGGTCCCTGAGATCACAGGGAGGGGCGGCAGTGGTTTCTTTATGGTTTGCAGCCCAGCCACAGGGAAGGGAAGTAATATCAAACTGTCGGGGCTGTGGTAGCTGGGCAGGGAGGTGGTTCTGGGGCTCTGGGGGGCAGGGGCTGAAACGTAGGGGTAGGGTGAGGCATCCCAGGGGAAGGAGCCGGGGACTCAGTGAGGTGCCCTCAAGTATCTGCCCGAGGTCTTGCTGGGAGCCCTGGGAGGATGGGGAACAGGGATCCTGCACCCTGCAGCGTGCCTCAGTTTCCCTCAGGAGTGCTCTGACTCAACTCCTGGGCCCAGCGAGGAGTCCAAAAATGTGAAGTCGGTTCCCAGATGCTCTGTGGCTGGGGGGGGGGGCGGGTGAGGAGGGGCGGCCACCTGGCAGCAGCCACAGACAGGGTGGGGAGCGGGCGCGGGGGTTTATTTTAGCTGCCGGGGGAGGAGGTGTGAGCTCCTGAAGGGAGGAGGCCCCTCTGAGCCACCCCCAGAAAGGCTCAGCTACCCCTCCCCCGGCAGTGGGTCCCTGCTTTGGCCGGGCTGTGCCCACCTTCCCAGCCCTCCTTCCCTGCCCCCATTTCACAGAAGAGCTGTCCTTAGCCAGGCCCTGGTCTGATGGTCCCTTGATCTCTGTCTGCCTCCATCCCGGTGAGAGCCTGGCAGTGTCCCTCCTGTGGGCGTGATGTGTGACCTAGCCTGGGACCCCAGTCTGGGATGCATGGCCCTCGCGCTGGGCCCTGCTTGTCTCTGTGCTCGCTGTGCAGAGGGACCTGTGCCCTGTGGTAGAGTGGGTGGCCCTGGCTGACCTGAGGTGCGGAGCGGTCAGTAATGACCGACCAGACCCCCAGAAGCCAGCGGTATGATGACCCCCCATCCATGATGGGGGTGGCTTTGGGCATCTGCCCCCAGGGTAGGGCCGTACAGCCAGGCAGCGACATGACCTCCTGCCTGCCAGACTGCGGTGGGGCCGGAGGGAGGAGCAGCAGGGACCCATGACCAGACCGTCACGGGGAGAGGGACTGCGGGAGCCGCCCTGCAGACAGTGGGGCTGTGGGATGGCCTGTGTCTGAGCCTGCACAGGGTTCGCGGGTGTCCAGGCCTGGGTCAGCAAGGCTGGGCCTGGAGGGAAAGGGTGCTCACGGCTCACTGGTTCAGGCAGGGCCTAGGGACCCAGGAGCTGGACCAATGTCTAGGCCACCCAGGCACATACCAACTGGTGGGCTGGTTTCAGGCTCAGGGTTCTCTTGACTCCCATAGCAGGAGGTCCCCGGCTGCCAGGTGAGGACAGGACACCGGGACAGGGAGGGAGTCTCTGGCCTGCAGCTGGAGACCTCTGTCCCCACACTGGGAGTTCAGGGGTCCTCCAGGTCTCCTGGAGGCTGGGAGTTGAGGGCATAGCTGGGTCTGTCCTCGAGTTCCTCGGGAAGGGGAAGCCAGTATGAATCGACGGGGTCCAAGGCCCACTCATGTATATACAACCCTGTGCAGGCCAAGGACAGCGACGATGACGATGATGTCACTGTCACCGTGGACCGAGACCGTTTCATGGATGAGTTCTTCGAGCAGGTGGGAGCCAGAGCAGTGCATCTGTCCCTCGCGACAGCCTGGACCTCAGACGATCGCCTGAACCCCTGAGCTGGGCCCGGGCTGACACCACGGGGGGACCCACGTGCAGGGGCACAGGTGGAAAAGTCCAGAGCAGGGAAAGTTGGGGAGCGCCCCACTCCCTCCCGTCTCAGCCCCTGCCCCACCGGCTTCACTTCCAAGGCCTGGCCGTCCTCTGTCCTCCCCGGTTTTTGTCCCTGACCCTAGCCCTGGTCCCCAGGTGGAGGAGATCCGAGGCTTCATTGACAAGATCGCAGAGAACGTGGAGGAGGTGAAGCGCAAGCACAGCGCCATCCTGGCCTCCCCCAACCCAGATGAGAGTGAGTGTGGGTGGCTGGGGGCAGTTCTGGGGGCACCTCAGCAGACACAGCCGTCCTGGGGGTCAACGCCCACTGTCACCAGCTGGACCGGTCTCACACAGAGACTTGGAGGTGGGAGGGATCCCCTCCTAGGGCCTGGATGGGTCCTGTGGCCACCCCACCCTCTGCGGGATGCTGGCTTTTTCCTGAGGCCACTGTGGCACTGCCCTGCGATTCGGGGAGGAAGGGACAGGGAGGAGCAGCCTCTGATCAATAGGAGGCCGCCCGCCCCTCCGCCGGCCCTGGGAGCAGATGGCAGTGCTAAGACGACAACTCTGTGGGAGGGGAGCTGGCCGAGCGGGCCGCTTCCGGCAAGCACACAGCCCTGGCACTGGGCCACTTGGTACCCTGGAGCCGGCCATTTTTGGGGCTCCAGGAAGTCCCCTCTCTACCTCTGCACTGGAAGCTACATGGGTCTGGGTTCCACGGTGTCCCCTGACCGACGGATCCCCTCACCCGGCCCTCACATTCCTGGTGAGCTATTGATTGCTCCGCCAGCATATGCCAGGCTGCCCCATGCCTGGCACGCAAGTCTTCCCTGGAGGGAGCTCAGTGCCGGCCCGGGGAGGCTGTGACCGCTCCCTGCAGTGGGAACCCAGGCATGCTACTTGGAGCAGGCTGGGGTGCTCGCCCACAACTGATATCCCTCTCTCACCAAAGGTGCCATCATTCAGAGGGCAAGGGGCATGAGGGAGCATGGGAAGGGCCCCGCCTGCCTGTGCCCAGGTGTCCAACGGGGCAAGGCCTGGCCACCCAGATGCCCGGTGCACGGCCTTCTGTCCAGGGCCCGGTGCCCCCAAGCACATTCGGTCCTTGGGAGACCAGGATCAACTTCCCAGCCCAGAGCGGGTGAACTGCAGCCTGGGCCCCACTCATCGTGCCCAGGGCCTGGCCCCAGCCTGGGAGGCTGGGAGCTGTCCCCGAGGGCCGCCAGTGCAATCACCGTGCATCACCCCCACCCCAAAGACGCACCTGGGGAGACAGACAGTGTGTGACGTGTGCTGTGTGCCCGTGGGTGTGTGGGTCACTGCGTGTCCCTGCGTGGGCTGCTCCTGCAGAGGGTCAGGAGGATTGACCGTGGGGGAACAGAGCACTCTGAGCAGCTGGGGAGTGGGCGCCTCTGCTGCCTGTGGGGCGTGGGCGAGGCCCTCCCACCATGTACTCTTCCCCTGCTGTGTCCTGTGCCGTGCGAAAGGTCCCCGTGACCAGGCTGAGACCCACTCACTCGGGACAGGGTCCCCCTCAGGAACTGGGCAGAGCCAGGCCAGGGCAGGGGCATAAGCGGCGGGGGGCTGTCCTGGCCCAGGCTGCTCTGCCTCCTCTGGGGGCTGCCATCCGGCTGGGCTATTTTGGGTCTGAGCAAAGGAGGCTGAGACGTCAGAGCAGCTGGTAACCAAGTTTCCCTTTGTTCGTACGAAGGGAGTGCCCTCCTCCACTCTGTGGTACCCCCCGCCTCATGTTCCTCCTGAGGTGCCCCCTTCTAGGGCCTGGGAGATGCCTCTGCTCACAGCCTTCCCCAGGGCCCCTGAGGACACACCCAGCCCAGGAGGGTACAGTTGGAAAGGTGCCAGCAAGGAGCCCAGTCCCACTTCCCCGAGGGGGCTGCCGAGGGTCAGGGGTTGTGCCCTAGAGGGACAAAGCCAATGCCTCTGGAAGACGGGTGAGCTGGGCACACTCATGGCCTCTCAAGGAAGGGAGATGATTCTCGTTCACCCACCCTCACCCACCTGCCACCTCCAGGGCCAACTGTGTCCCATGGGGCCCACCTCTCATACCTCTCACCTGGGCCTGGGCATCTGTCCCCGGCCACTTGGTGGAGCTCAGCACCTGGGGGCAGTTTTGTGAGGAGATCAGGGCCTGCCCCGCCTGGGCTTTGCGGCTGTAACCCTAGGGAGGCAGCTGGCATGAGGAGGCCTCTGCCACCCTGGTACCTGCCAGCCCACTGGCCAGCCGCTTATCCCCACCCCAGCCATCAGGTAAGGCCAGGTGAGCCTGCACCCACCTCTGACTCAGGCAAGTACCAAGAACACATTCCCCAGTGCCAACTCCAGCCCTGCCAGCTGCTCCACAATTATTCCTTCCTTAAATTTAGACCCATCTGTTATCTCCAGGGGGTGGGAGCTGGTGAAGGAGGCAAGAGGCACCTTGGAGGGCAATGAGGGGGTGCCGCTGCAGCTGGGCGGCCCTGGCCCAGAATGGGAGCAGGCCGAGCCTGAGCCAGGGGAGGGGCAGACCCAGGACCCCACGGGGCCTGAACATTGGGCAATGCGAAGCCAGGGTATCTACACCCCATCCCTTCTGCCTCCTCAGAGACCAAGGAGGAGCTGGAAGAACTCATGTCAGACATAAAGAAGACGGCTAACAAAGTTCGTTCCAAGTTAAAGAGTGAGTCCATCCCTGTCCTGTCCGAGATGGTCGGGTGGTAGCCTAGTCTTACTGCCTTGAGTAGCCCATGGGTGTCATTGACCCCGTGGGTCCCTTTTTGAGGGTGACATCTTTTGGACCAGGCTCTGGGCTCAGCCAGGGACACAGACACCTGAGGCTTTGTCAAAGTTCACTCCCCTCAGGCCACTGTCCCTCGCTCCAGCTAAAGAAGGTTAAGGAAAGCTAGGCAAGTGGTGCCTACCGGTAATCCCAGCTACTTGGGAGGCTGAAACAGGAGGATCACAAGATTGAGGCCAGCCTGGATTATATTTTGAGACACTATCTCAAAAAACCAAAAGTGTGTGGGGAGCAGCAGCCACCAGCCCCTTGCAGCCTGTCCAATGCTATGCGAATGCAGATACATACATCCCATGGCTGCCTAATCTGGGATCACGTGCCCTGCAGGGATGGCGCAGGTGGCATGGGCCTTGTGCTCCAACCCCAGCTGGAGGGCTTGTGAGCTGCCCTGCGTCATGCCTGGCAGTCCATCCTATTGTGTGTCCCCTGTGACCCCCCCCATGCAGGTCACTCAGAGTCCTGAGGGGGTCTGGAGCAGGCCCGCGGGTGGGGAGGCACGGTGCATGGGGAGGTGGGGAGGTCGTGGCTCAGAAGCCCTCCCGCCGCAGGCATCGAGCAGAGCATCGAGCAGGAGGAAGGCCTGAACCGCTCCTCTGCAGACCTGCGGATCCGAAAGACCCAGGTGCGGAGGGCCCCAGGGTTGGGAGCCGCCCGCCCGTCTCCAGGTCCTATGGTGCCGTCTGACACCCGCATCCCTTTCTCGGGTCCCCAGCACTCCACGCTGTCCCGGAAGTTTGTAGAGGTCATGTCGGAGTACAACGCGACGCAGTCCGACTACCGGGAGCGCTGCAAGGGCCGCATCCAGAGGCAGCTGGAGATCAGTGAGCTGGGGGGGGGCCTGCGCTCGGTGGGCGGGACTTTGCGATCGGGGGCGGGGCTAATGACGGGAGCGGTAGCGAGGACCGGGCTGCTGCTGAGCTCGCTGGACAGGGCTCTGCTCAGCGTTGACTATCTCCAGCTGGCAGGACCACAACTAGCGAAGAATTGGAGGACATGCTGGAAAGCGGAAACCCTGCCATCTTTGCTTCCGGGGTGAGCATGCACCCACCCCTCCCACCCGCTCCGGCTAAAACCCAGTTTGTGTGTCAAGTGCTGGGTCTGGGCAGTATTTGAACACAGCCACACTGCGAGGCAGGTATGGGAGGGGCTGAGTCACATGGAGAGGACGTATTAGGGGTAAAGGTGGACCTGTGCCATGCCCCAGTCTGGCATGGTGGCACCCGTGACAGACTGCAACTTCAAGCCCTGCCTGGGCAACTGAGACTTAGACCTTGTCTCAGTAAGGGGCGGAGGGGCTGTAGATGGAGCTCTTTGTGAAGGCCCTGGGTTCAATCCTCAATATAGGGGGAAAAAGTCCCAGGTGCCCCCTGGTGGATCCACTTCCTTGCTGTCCCTGATCATTTGCCAGTGGCCAGGGGATTCTCCTGTCACCCTCAGGACCTCTGTCCCTTCCTGGGGGACATTGGGCCAATGATCCATAAGAGCTCTGTGCCACCAGCAGGGGGCACACAAGTGCAGGAGGCAGGCTTGGGAGTGTGGGTTCCATCCCAGTGGGGAAAAGACGGATTTCATGCAGGAGGGGAGTGGTAGGTGGTGTGAGGCCTGGGCCCTTGGGGCAGTCGCTGTGGGATTTCAGATCTGCTAAGGCCATCACATACTGAGCCCTGACTGGAGGGGCCTCATCAGCCTCGGATTACAGGTAGCAAGGTTGGGTGGCAGCTAGTAAGACAGGAACACTGCGGTTGGAGAGGGAACCCCTTGGCCTTCTGCCCTTCTCATCCGTCCCCCACTCCCCAGCCCTGTCAGGCCTTGGGGTCCCAGCTCCTCCTGCTCCCCGCCCCTAGATCATCATGGACTCCAGCATCTCAAAGCAGGCTCTGAGTGAGATCGAGACCAGACATAGTGAGATCATCAAGCTGGAGAATAGCATCCGTGAGCTCCACGACATGTTCATGGACATGGCCATGCTGGTTGAGAGCCAGGTGGGTGCCTGGGTCACCATGTCCCCTCCCCAACCTGCAGCGGCAGCTGGGGCTGCGCTAACCCTGCCATTTCTGCCCAACACGCTGCACTGCCACGAGGGACTAGGTGCTCAGGTAACCAAGCATCTGCTGTGGGAAGCACTCCGGGCCCCTGCAGGACCCTCTCTGCATGGCTCTGCTTGGCTCCCAGAACCCAGGCCCTGCATGGCCCCACCTACCCGCCCCCTGTCCTGTCATAGTCACCAGCATTTAATCAGGTGCCTTCGGGACTGGCTGCTTATCTAGGCTAGACTATGTGGCAGCAACCAGGACAGCTAGGGGCTGCTTTGGGAGCAAACAGCTTTGGTGAAAGGACAGCATCTGTGAAGAGCAAATGAATGTTCTGTGTGCCAGGTGCTCAGGAGATGTTAGGTGGCAGTGTGACCGGTGGGTGCTTGGACTTGCAAGTCATCTGGAAGGCTTATTGTAAGTTTCCAGAGGCTGCTAGGGCAGGCAGAGGTCCCCGGATGTACATGTTTCATGAGGGTGATGCCAGTGCTACTGGTCTGAGGGCCTCACTCTGAGTGACATGGTGACACAGCAACTGGGCTGGTGCTTTGTGTGAAGTCAGGGGAAGCCTGTTCAGCAGGAGGCATTTGCACAGCTACCAGAAGAGGTGAAAGGGAGCCAGCAGGGAAGATGTCCCAGGGTGACAGCTGGACTTTTGTGAGCGGAGAAAGGTCTTTGTGGGGGAGACAGGGAGAGCTCAGAGCTGAGGCCCAGGTGGAGGCCAAACAGGTGAGGCCTGGTGGTGGGGAGGCCTTTTTTGGGGTAGGAGGATTGGGGATTGAAGCCAGGGCCTTTGCACTGAGTGACATCCCAGGCCTGTTTTTTTTGGTGGGGGAGTACTTGGGATTGAACTCAGGACCTTGCCCTTGTGAGGCAGGCAGCTAAATCCCCAGCCTGTTTATTTCTCTTAAGTGGTGAAACAGTGTGTATTTCAAATTAGCCAGCTGGACTCAGTTGAGTTGATCCCAGTTTTGTTGGCAATGTCTAAAGTAGCATAACCAGGAGGAGCTTGCCAGACAGGCACCCTCTTCTCCCTGTCGGGGCTCTCTGACCTCCACACAACAGATGGCGAGAACTTCTTCACCACCCGTTTGGCCTGGCGCTTGTTGCCTTGATGCCCGCCATGAACACAAGCGTGTCGTCGTCATCTGTCATCTTTGTGGCCAGCTCCGTGGCCAGGGGAGCTTGGTACTCCTAGGGGTGCTGTCCCGAGGGGAGGGGATCAGGGCTGCCTCCAGAGCCACAGTGCGTGGGCCTCTGGAATGTGGTGACATGTGGATCATGTTGTGGCTGTGGATGCCTCTTAGGGCTTTGCTTTCTCTTGGGCTTTGGGAAGGGCAGTAGTTTTCTTCCCATGCTGTCCTGGTGGAAAGGTTCTGGAGACTCTTCTTGATTTTTGTTTGTTTGTTTGTTTTGTTTTGTTTTGTACTCAGGACCTTACACTTTCCAGGCAGGTGGCACCACTGAGCTAAATCCCTGGCCCTGTATTTTGGTTTTTGAGACAAAGTCTCACTATATAGTGCAGGCTGGACTTAAACTCGCTAAATTGCCTAGGTTGGGCTCAAAGTCAAGATCCTCCCACCTCAGCCTCCTAAGTACTGAGATTACAGGTATGCGTCACTACGCTCAGCTTGACTGAGGAGCTTTAAACATGGGAGTGACATAGAAGCTGCTACTGTGTCCTGGTGAGATGCAGACCATGGTGACAGGGACACTGAAGGCATTCAAACTGGAGAGGGAGATCAGCTGTTGCTGAGGGCCTGGGGGCAATGTCAAGGTCTGATTGGCCCTGGGGAAGACTATGGGACCAGATCACAGTGCCCGAGAGCTCTGGGGCTGCCAAGGGATCTTAAGAGCTACAGCCAGGGTGGGCTCCGTCCCCAGCCCACCTGTCCTGCCTCCCTCCTTGCCCGGCACCAGGCGCAGAGCTGAGCATTGTCTGCATGGTCCACCCTTGGCTGCGATGCATGGCCAGCTCCACCCCCAGGATGGCTGTTCTGCAGGGAGGGGTGGGGGCTGCCCCTGAGTCCCATGCCCTCCACGCCCTGGCCAGGGCCTGCCCTAGGCACAGCTTGGCAGCGGCCGCCCAGCCACCTCACCTCCTACCTCTCTCTCTGCCTTCAGGGTGCTTCCCTGAGGCCCCGCCCTGAGCCCCCGCCCTATCCTGAGGAGGGAGCCCTCTGGAGCTCGGGTGCCCCCGGCCCCGCAGGGGGAGATGATTGACAGGATCGAGTACAACGTGGAGCACGCGGTGGACTATGTGGAGCGGGCTGTGTCTGACACCAAGAAGGCCGTCAAGTACCAGAGCAAGGCACGCCGGGTCAGTTGCCGGTCAGCCCAAGCCACACCCCAGCACCCACTAGAGCACCCAGTCTGTCACCCAGTCCACCCCTTCTGCCTGCCCCCCGGTCTGGAAGCTCTGACCAGAGCCTTCACTGCCAGGCTGTCACCTGCCTACCTCGAGGCCCCAGTGCTGGCCCTTGGCCCTCAGTGCCACCCTTCTTCTGAGAGCTGCCCACTGAGGCCTCTCTTCCTGCCCTCTTGCAGAAGAAAATCATGATCATCATCTGCTGTGTGATCCTGGGCATTGTCATCGCTTCTACCATCGGAGGCATCTTTGGATAGAGCCCGGCCTGCCACTCCTGTCCAATGGCCACCCTGTGGAGGCCCCTGGCTGCGCTGCCCTCCCCACCCCTTCTGGCTCGGACACCCTCACTCTCACCTGCCCTGCTCCTCTCCCAGGGGCCCCATTCCCAGCCTGCCCGAGCCGTGTCGTGTGCATGATCTGTGACAGTGTGTGTCTGTACAGAGGTGGAAGGGAGCAGGGCTGGGGCTCCACCCTTCCCTGGGGTCCAGGCTCCTGCCGGACCCAGCTGTGTCCCCACTTGCCCTGTCTATCCACCCTGTCCCCTGGCCACTCCAGCTGCTTCCCCAGTGCCGAGCCCCAAAGGGTGGGGAATAGCTGGCCACATGGTGCTGCTTTTCAGGTTGGGGACAGGTGGCCCTGGGGGACAACCCAGCACTCAGCCTCTATTTGCTGACCACTGCCAGGAGGCTCCCTACCCTACCCTACCCACGCAAAGCCAGTGGGTCCTGCCTCAGTCTCCCTCCCCGCATCTGAAGCCCCAGGAAGTCCGCTCCGGGCTGCTGCCTGTGCTTGGAGCTGGAGGCGGAGTAGCTGCTGTCCCCAACAGGCCTGTCAGGTTCGAAAGCCAGTGTTGCATGTTCGGGACAGTGGTCCCCTCTCTGGGAAGTCATGTGTCACTCAGGCCTGCAGTCTCATCCCGCCCTACTGCCCCCAGCAATGTGCCACGTGGTGTCAGGTGTCTCCGATGCAGTATTCAGCAGCCAGCCTTCCCAGGGCACCCTCGGACAGGCCCCGCCCAAGCCCCCTCGCGAACAGGCAGGAGGTGCATGCAGGTGCATGCGGCAGGGGGTGGGGCCATGTCCAAGCCCCTCCCCCACTTGGCTTCGCTCCTGCCCAGTGACTGACCACTGTCCTTGCTGCCTTCCCCCTCCACCCCTCACCAAAGGTCTTGGTACAACCAGCTGCCCATTTTGTGAACTTTTTATGTAGAATAAACATTTGTATATGTCTGACCGCGCTGTTGGGGCCCTAGCATCGGGGGGTCATGCATGGGCACTGTGGGAAGGGGCTCGGAGAGGGACCCCAGCTCTACCATTCAGTAGACAACACCCAGCTTGGCCATGAAGATAGTTCCCAGACTGCACCCTCACCCCGTGAGGTGGCCTGTGCTTTGACAAAGGGCCCAGGCTGCAGTTTGATGCCCAGGGAGACCCCACTCCGAGTTAGACCCTTGGCCCTGGGAACCCACTGAAGGTCTCTGCTGTGCCAGTGCCAAAGTCTGTCCCTCAGTACCAGGCCCAGACCATGTCTCCCCAAGACCTCTCAGCAGCCTGGGGCACAGTCCAGAGCAGGACCTGCCCTTCTGAGCACTCCCAGCTGGACAGGAGACGGCCTCCCACCCTAGGGCAGCGGCCCAGGCCAGTGACTGTCAGGAACACAGCATACCCTGACCCCCACTGTGCCACAGAGCATGGTTACACATAAGCCCCAGACCAAGGGAGCCACCGAGCTCGTCCAGGTTAAAAAGGGCGCCTCTATTTCAGTCCTTTAAACCCGCTTCCTGCCTGCACGTCATAGGGACCACAAGGACCACGGGGCTGGGAGATGCCACAGCCACACAAGTTCCACAGGAAGTGGTTTATTGTTTTGGTTTTAGAATAAAATAAACTCTTGGAAACTTTAGGAAAAATATTCTTAGATTACATTGTCAGTCCGTCCCGAAAACGTGGCAGAGGTGGGCACTGGGCTCAGAAGCGGGGCCTGCGCTTGCGGCCGGTGTACTGGGTATCAGGCCGGACTGCCCTGTGTGAGGACAGGACGGGAAGGTCTTGAAGAACACAGGCCCGGACCCTCCACAGCCACCGGGCCCCTAGGCCTGTCCCCCGCTACTCACTTGCCCTGCCGCCTGCGGCGCTCCTTCTTCTCTAGCACCCACTCTCGGCTTTTCTTCACCATGCCCTGCCGCGCCATCCTGTACCGAGCCCTGTGTCAAGACAAGGCCGCGTTGACAGGATGGCTGCCCAGGTGGTGACCCTTCAATCCCCACACCAGGAGTGGTGAGCTTCCTTCCAAGACAGACGCACCACCTTCCCTTCCATGACAGTCCCTCTCCGGTCACCCCCTTCCTGTAATGTGCACTGGGGCCCAGGGAGCCTGTGTAGACAGGGATGTGCAGCCCCCTGCTTGCGACATGTCTGTGTGCATGCGTCCTATCTGTGGTGGCATCTATTGTGGGGCAAATGAGGCCAGGAGCAGGGGCCAAGGAGGCAGAGGCCCCAGTGAGGCCTGGTCCAGCTCAGGGCCTGGCGTGCTTACTACAGCCCGAGTTCTCAGCCACCACACATGTCCGAGGCAGGAAAACACAGCTGCCCACTCGCGGCAGCTCTGACGATGCTCCTCCAGGGCTGATCTCGGCCTCCAGCCCTGGCTGAGGAGCAGTGGGATCCCCACAGCCCAGGGGGCAGGAGGCCAGGAGGAGAGGAAGCAGGGCTCCCACAAACCACATCACCACCTGGCCAGCACTGCTCCCCACAGAGCTCACAGGGGTGTGGGCCCCGGAGTCCTCTGCCCAAGCTCCTGCAGCCTCATCCTTCACAGACTGTAACTTCACGGAGGCCTGAGGGCTGCTCTGGGTGACCAGGATGAGCTGGGAGAAGCTGGTGTCTCCAGGAAGGGGCTGGGACCAGGGAGGACCAAAAGGGAAGAGAAACTGGCATCACTCTTGCTGGGCACATATGCAGTGACCCGTAAACAAAAATGCATGGTTTGGAGCAGTGAGAGGTGGGCACCAAAGGGAAGGGGAACACAACTGCAGATACTGGACAGAAGTGACAAGCTCTGATCTACATTTTAAGGAAAAACAGAAGGAAAGGAGTCTCGCTGCTGTGTGGAAAAATACACTGAAAAGAGGCAAAGACTGCAACAGGGAGCCTTACAGACAGCTATGCAGGGTTAGGGTAAGGTTGGGGACAAGACAAAGGTCAGACTAGGGACACACAGGACAAGCAGGACCTGCTGACGGGGCAGCTGGCTGTGAGGAGGATGTCAGGCAGGATGCAGAGGCAACCTAGAAAGTGAGAGCCAAGAGCTTAACTTGGTTTGGGATATCTGGGGCAAAGCCAGGTATGGACCTGAGGTGGCAGCAGGGAGATCAGGGTGGGGTTGGGATGAAAGGTATGACATTTGGGTGCTGGCCATCTGGGTGCACACCCATGGCCCCAGCACATGGGAGGCTGAGGCAAGAGGATCCCAAGTTTAACCTAGTGACTTCATGAGACTCTACTTCAACATAAAAAACAAAGCTAGATGTGGTGGCACAAGCCTGCAATCCAAGCACTTGGGCTGAGGCAGGAGGGTCACCGAGTCCAAGGCCAGCCGAGGCAATTTAGTGAGTTCAAGGCCAATCTGCGTAGCAAGACAATGTCTCAAAAAAACCCAAAATAAATAAATAAAATAAAATTTAAAAAGGCCCACGGATATAGCTTAGCTAAAGGCCCTAGGTTTGCCAGGCGTGGTGGCACACGCCTGTAATCCCAGCACTCGCGAGGCTGAGGCAGGAGGATCGCTGCGAGTTCGAGACCAGCCTGGGCTACATAGTGAGTTCCAGGTCAGTCTCAACTACATAGTGAGACCCTGTCTCAAAAAACCAAAAAAAAAAAAAGGCCCCAGGTTCAATCCCCACTACTACAAAAAAGAAAAAAAAGGTATTAGGGACTTGTCTTTCAGTCGGTATTTGAAGGAGTACAGAAGAGCATGGCAGGAGAAGAAGAGGCAGCAGTTCACAGAGAAGTGGCAGCCAGGGAGGTAGAGAGGGCCAGGAGCGGGGTGGAGGCCAGGAGAAGAAGTGTCAGAAGGCACATCTGCCATCTTGGACCACCTGAGATGGCAGGTAAGATCGGCCCAGCAGAGAAGGGAAGGACAACAAGAAGGGAGCAGACTCGGCAAGATGGAAGCTGTGGTGGGCTTGACGAGAACAGTCTGCAAGACCAAACTGAGTGAGCAGCAAGGAGGAAGCAAGAGGCAGTAGGCACAAGGACGCTGCTGCCCGGAAAGCCTGTCACAGTCTCTAGATGCTGCTCTGGGCTTCGGTGAGAATCTGTGGGACTCGAGGGAGGGAAGCACAGAGGGATGGGTCCAGGACACAGGTGGAGGAGAGACAGCCTGCCAAGCCCGGTATGAGGGAGGGGCAGGTGTAGGCTCACAGATAGCACCAAGCATGCCGTGCCACCATGTTCCCTCCGCGGTGGCTCCACCTGAGGCCCAGGGAAGCAGAGAGACACGCAAGCTGACCTGGCAGCACAAAAAAAACAGTTTTACCTGTCCTTGGTGAACCTGGACTCTGTGGCCTCCTCTCCGTCCTCAGCTTCGCTCAGCCCCTGCAGGAACCACAATGGTATGATCTCCCTGGCGCTCTTACTCCATCTGCCCAGGGCAGACGCTGTGCACCAGGCTGCAGCTCCTCCAGCAGGCGCCAGGCCCAGGCCCCTGAGGAGCCAATGCCTCCTTCTGGACCTGCAGGACAGGCTCTGCCTCCAGACCTGGATGACTACAGCATGCGGGCTCTGAGCTCCTGGCTCAGCTGCCCTGAACACCACCATCCTCCTGGAACTTTCCTAGGCCTGCAACCCAGGGTCCCTTACCTTGGGCAGAAAGGCCGAAGGCCCAGAGAACAGGCAGAGGTAGAACCTGGAATGACAGAATGCAGGGTGAGGCCCAGTTCATGAAGTCTTGCCCCCACCCGCCTCAGCCCAGGGCCACCCCTCAGCCCTGCCCTCACTTCTTGGCTTTGGTACTGTTCGGGTAATCCACCACTACGCCACCTGTGAAGCCAGCCCGCGTGGCCTGGGTCGTGATGAGCTCCAACTGTGGACAGATGGGTGGGTGTCAGGCTGGAGGTGCAGAACCTTCAACCTCACTCTCCTCCCCTCTGTAACCCTGCCTGGTGACAGAAAGTCTTTTAGTTCTAAAAAGTCACACAAGATTAAAAAACAAAAAGCCAAATAGCAGAGTGTGGGCGACCCAGTCATGTACACATCCCTTAGAGGGATTACAGAACAAAGCAGTTCCTCAGCCTCACTTTCTAGCCCAGAGACCCGGCCCCCACTCAAACCTCAGGAAATGCACGGCCACCACCTGGGAGCCAGGTGGCGATGTTATTGGTCAGGGACAGCGCATCACCTGTCAGGGTCTATGCTTCCTAATCCCAACTCATCTTTCCTAACTCCTACTGCTGGTGTCCCTGACATCCCCCCCATTTATGTATCTGGGCACAGAAACGAGTAAATCCTATCATGTTATCTGTGACACCGTCATACCTGTCAGACATCCTCCCAAGTCCCAGATACAAGCCCTTGGCACAGGAGGTCACCAAATGTGCTACCATGGGTCCCGGGCCCTCTAGGGTGCTCATCTCTCTCTTCCACCCATCAGCATGAGACACAGCCACCGGCTCTGGGCCCCCCACTCCCTGCCCCCCACCCCAGCAGCCAAGGACTCACCTGCTCAGAGTTCTCTGGGTACAGCTGCAGGACAGCCCGGGCCCCACGGACCTGCAAGCAACTCAAACGTCAACATCTCACGGATCCCATGTGGGAAAGACTAGGACACTCTTCCTGCTTTTGCTCATTAAATCTCCACAGAGCTCCCACTACACGAGGCACTGCTCTTAGGGGGCGGACATCGTCAGCCTCCCTGAACTAACTGCTGGCACTCAGTTTTGGTGGAGGAGGCAACTAGGCACCAGAAAGAAAGACAAACTGGGAAGAGGTGGTGCCCATTGGCAGAGACTGCTGGGTTCCCTTGTGGCTCCAGGAGGCCACTCCGAGACCACAGAGCACAGCCCTCTGTGGTTACCTGAACACATGAAGGAAGAGGATTCTGGCAGAGAAGGGGATATCACTGTCTTCTGGGCCTGATTAAGATGTCAGCCCATGGAGCTCGGCCTTCAGTTCAGGCTCAGGGCCAGGAAAGAAATCACCAAAAGGCGGTCCTGCTACCCGATGTGGCCCTGTCTGAGTGGACTTGCCATCATGGGATCCCTCAACTTCCTCACTCAACTGCAGGGCAAGGGAGGGACAGGCAGCCAGCCCCAATGGAAAGCAGATCTCATACTCACAAGAACAGAATACAGAGAAGAAAAAAAGCAGTAAAGGCGCTTGGCAGGGATGTCGGACTTCTTGTTAGCATTACAGAGCCACTGCACAGCAGAAATGCTGAAAAGGAAGACCTGACATCAGGAGGGGTCCAATCCCTTCCCCTTTACACCTCCCACCTCTTTGGGACTCTGCCATCATCCACTGCATGGAGGTGGTGGGGTTGTATCCAAAACTCCCTCCTTGGAAAGTGCTGGTCCTTCCCTGCCACCTCAGAAGACCAGACCTATCAGGCTGCGTAGGGAGGCAGCATTCACCTTCTTCCTCCAGCAAGCATGGGACCTCCGTGTGTCAAGGCCGTCTCTGCCCGCCCGCCTTTCTTCCCTCTCCCAGCCCCAGGACACATGCTTGCCTGCCACTCACTTGCTGCCTCCTAGGTGGGTCCTTCTACCATATCTGTGAAGGGGCTGTGCTGGCCCCATATCCATCCTCCCTTCCAATCCTGCCTCAGTGCCAAGAGCACAGAGCCACAGAAGCCCACACTGCAGGCTCACCTGGCTGCCTCTCCTGGCTTCTGCTTCCCCGCACTGCCTCAGCACCCACCGCCCTCCTGAAAGCTTCAGCAGCAAGGCGTGGTGGTGCACACCTGTAATCCGAGCACTCAGGAGGCTGATGCAGGAGGACTGCCATGAATCTGAGGCCAGCCTGGGCTACACAGTGAGTTCAAGGCCAGCCTGGACTACAAAGAGAGACCCTGTCTTAAACAAACTCCTTAGCACTTTCCCTGCTCTTTGTACTTCTGCCAGCAACAACCTTTCCAACACAGAGATCAGATCCTGCCACACCCTAGCTCCTCTCTTTCTAATGGAAAAAGCCCCAATTTTTTACAACCCACCAAAAAGCCTTCTGGAACCAATCCTGTACCACCTCATCTCCCATGAAATCTTACCCACATCCCTGTGAATTTCCAAATGCCTTTCTGTGCCTCTGTTCATACTGTCCTCTCACTGAGCAGCTTATCCCTGAGCACAGATGCCCCAGCCCCTCATTCTCAGGGCAATCCTGTGGCGCCCACTGCCCTTCACGGCTCTAGAGCGGCCCATGACTCCTAGCACATAGCCAGCCCCCACCAGGCCTGGTTCAGCAGCCAGGCCTAAGTCTTAGAGGACCTCATATACCATATGTAATCTTTTATTTTTTCTTTTCTTTTAAAGGGGTGGGATCAAACCCAGGGCCTAGGCATGTGTTCTACTACCAAGCCACATTTCTAACCCCCATGGACAATTTTGTTTGTTTTTTTCTTTTTTCTTTTTTTGGTACTGGGGAGCAAACTCAGGGCCTCACACTTTCCATGCATGCACTTTGCCGCTGAGCTATATCCCCAGCCCATGACTATTGACTCTTAGAATTTATATTGTTAGCCCTTGGTTCTGTTTTGTTTTGCAGCTTTGGAAACCTTGTCTAATCATTACCAAAACACAATAGCTACCTTTGAAATGCATCCCCACCTCAATCCTCTTCCCACACATAAGAAAATCTTCAAATCTAAATAACTTACTCCCCAGGACAGGGATTTGGCTCAGTGGTTCTGCCCCCTGACTCCCAAGCACAAGGGCCCCAGTTCCATCCCCTGTACCCAAACAATAAATAATTACTCCTCACCTCGATCCTCTCTCAACCCAAGGAGAGCTCTCTGACAGACCATTTTAACTTTCTCTTCTACTCCTGATCTCCACCCTCAGCAACAGAACACTACCCCAAATGCCAGAAAGAACTCATCCAGAACAAGAAAACTTCAGAGTCCTAAGAGTAATTTTAGTCTTCTAAGACTGGTTATCAAAATATAGTGCACATATTCAAAATGTGACCCCATCATATCACAGTGATAAATGTGCACCCATGTTTATAGCAGCACAGTTTGTAATAGCTAAAACCTGGAAACAGCCCATTTACCCATCAGTTGCAGACTGGATAAAGATGTGGTTTTTCTATAAAAGGGAATACTACTCAGCCATAAAGAATGAGAAATTAGAGTCATTCATAGGAAAATGGATGCATATTGAGGATATACTCTTAAGTGAATAAATAAGTCACACGTGTAAATACAGAATAGTTTCTCTGGTGTGAAAAACTATAATTGTAAATAAGATTCTAATGGTATAATTGACAATGTGAAATAGGAAGAAAAGGGCTAAAGGTGTAGGGGAAGTGGGAAGGGTAGGGGAAAGGAAATAAGGGAAAAGAAAAAATATGAGAAAATGGAAAAATGGAAATAAAGTTTGTGTAAATAGGGAAGGGAGGAGGGGGTGAAGAGAGGACAGGGGTATTGGGAAAAAATGAGAACCAAGACCTGTCATGTAAAGGTACAAGATCCCAATGATGAATGTAACTGTACTGTATACCTAAAATGTACCAATAAACTCAATGAGGAAAAACAAAACAAACAAACAAACAAACAAAAACCCAGAATGTGACCCCAACAACCAAGTAAGGCTCTGAAGCAAAGAGATCAGAAGTCCCAGCCACTCTCCACTAGGGCTGTTTGAAAAGCTGAAAACCAAATGGCTGCTGGGACCCACAAGATAGTGGTAGCTATCCCCCTAAGAGGGCCACAGCAGGGGCCCCACAAGACTGTGGTTGGGCCTACAAAATTTGACCTTACCCAACACCACCCCTGGCAGAATCTACACCAGAGGTGCCTGAACCTGACAATGTAAGTTGATTGCAGAAGTAGACAGTTTAGGAATACAAAGGGAGAAAAGGTGGGGGGGTCCTCTAAATTTATAAATTTGAAAATCCCAATGCTGGGTGACTTTGCTTGATGGCTAGGCTTGGAAAGCACTGGTCTACAAGATTAAGAGCTGGAAAGAAGATTCTCACCTGATACAACCATCAAAGGAACCGGGTCGGAAAGGAACACCCTGGCCCATGTCCCCCAGAAGAAGGTCTCCGTCTATCTCTCGATCCAAGGCGGCATCTACAATGGAGAAAGGACACGAAGCAAGCAGACAATAAATATGGCAGCTCATACTCATGAGGATAACCAACACTGCTGACAAGCCAGGACACACTCACCCAGCATGGCAGGACTGATGTCTATGCCCACCCAATAGTGCCCCTCTTCTGTAAGGTAATCTCCACTCAGCCCAGTTCCACAGCTGGAAGACATAATCGGAGACTTAAATAGTTGAGCAGCAAACTTACCACCAGCACTAAGATGACATGAACCATACCCCAGGAGCTCACCCAATATCCAACAGGTAAGAGGGCTGTCCCTCAGGCAGACAAAGGAGCTCCAATGCTCGCTCAGTCATTTTGGTCTGGACATCAATCATTCGTGAGCTGGAAAGACAGAAATGCAAGCAAGCGGTGATGGAGGCTGGCTAATACCTCTCTCAGACCAAAAAACCAAGAGAGGGTAAAAGGACAATCAAGCTGGACATAATCTTTCCTGACCCTTTAATGCTTACTGAGATCAACAAACTCAACTACAACTATTTAAATGGGATCCCAAAATTCCACCTAATATAGCAACTCGTTATTTTACTGTAACAGAAATTATAAGTAAAGCAGCTGTAAAACTGATGTGGAGAGACTGAACCCACTCAGATAAGGACCAACCAGTGACAATCTGCAACTCTATCAGGCTTTGAGGCTTTACTACTTAGGAAGGTATTCTCTGAAATGGTTCTCCACCACAGTTACTCTTGTATATAAGGACCACCAATGCCTGGCAAAACTTGTACCAGGCTGAGGACACAGCTCAATGATAGTGTGCCTAGACTATATCCATCCCGGGCACAAAAACCTTCAACAGTGCTACCTGTGAGAAATATAACGCAAGCCTTACAACTTTCAGGTACCCAAAGTTAAAAAAGAAGTAGCTACACTGTAATTAAGCTTTCTTGACCTCGTATACTAAAATGTATACTTAATCCAATATACCTGATTTATTACTTCAAAATGCAATCAAAGCCAAAAATCAGTCAGGTGTGGTGGCACACTGTACTCATTATGCTGAGAGGCTGAGGCAGGAGGACCAAAGGTCCAAGCCCAGCCTGGGCAATTTAGCAACTTAGTAAGACCCTGTCTCAAAATTTAAAAAGGGCTGGGTATGTAGCTCAGTGCACGGACAGTTTAATACCTAGTAGCGTGCAAATAAAATATTATCAGACATTTTGCAGTTCTCCATACAAAGTCCTCCAGATTAGCTGCATTTCAATATATGTATATCTGGCCTTCCCAAGATCAAGAGAATCACGCGTAACAGTTTTTAAAATGCCTAACACTGAGATTCTGAAGCTAGAAGTCTATATTTTATTCATGAAGACAACTCTGCTAGAAAGTTTTGACTCTGTCTTGGACACCAATTTAAACAGAAAAGAGACAATGTATTCCACAGAATTTTCTTCTAAGTAGTATATCAAGAAAAGACCAAGTTTAGAAGATCGTGCTCTAGCCTTTAGCTGTCAAAAGGCTTTGTAGTTACACAAATAACTACCTCTATAAAATTCAAAATATACCATGTCAACAGTTGTAAAATTTTAGTGACATAATGTAAATGGAAACAAAGTGACCCTTTACTTGCATCCTCCGCCTACTGCCTATTCTACCATATATTCACAACAAGATGTCAGTTGAGCATGGTGGCACAGATCTGTAATACCAGTACTCTGGGAGGCTGAGGCAGTAGGATCGCAAATTCGAGCCTAACCTGGGGAATTTAGCAAGGCCCTGTTTCAAAATAAATAGCAAAAAAATTGAGAAAGGGGCTAGGACATAACTCAGGGAGAAAGGCGTGGGTTCAATCCCCAGCACTATAAAAAAAAAACTTTTTTTGTCACATTATTCTGAAAACGTCCGAGATAAGGCAGGCATGGTCACACCCACTCTGACGCTGAGGTCACCGAAGCCCCCTGAGTTCAATAGCTTCAAAGTGACTTTACCAATAACACAAACAGCACCAGCCCAGATCTCTCCTCACCCCACCCCACAGCTCTACGAGCTTTCCAAGCAGCCCTCACAGTCGAGGCAGCTCCGCTGCCCCGGCCCAGACACCGCGCGGTATCGAGTCTCCCCTCACTTGCGAACGTATTTCCGGGCTTCATTCTGGTCGTAAAACTGAGGAGAAAAGAAAGAAATAGCAATGTAGAGAGAAGGAGCCGGACGCAATGGCCACAGGAGAAAGGGATGCCCGCAGGTCCCCGTGTCACCAATTCCGGAGGGCCGCCGTGTTCGGGTCTCCGACCGCGGCACGCCATCCTCAAGCCTTAGCAATCTGTGAGCCAGGCGTCCCCGGAGCCCGGCTTTGACGTCATCAGAGCTGCGACCTTCTCGTAATACGCATGCCCCTATGCCCACCGCCTTCCTTTTATCTGATTGGCCACACGGCTGAGCTCGGTACACGACCCACGACTCCCACTGGCCAGTTTGTTTTGCACCGCCCACCCCCATTTAAAATGGCAGCTGCGCACAGTCTGAGGTATCCGCGGCTTTTTCTCTGGAAGCTGGGTCGACTCGTGAGGTGGCCACAAAGTTCAGCGGTGGGTCTGGTCTTAACAGCGAGGGCTTATTCCCGGGGTAATGGCTCATACTCGCGCACGGCACTCTATGACCTGCTCGGCGTCCCCTCCACAGCCACCCAGGCGCAAATAAAGGCGGCTTACTACCGGCAGTGCTTCCTTTACCACCCGGACCGCAACTCTGGGAGCGCCGAGGCTGCCGAGCGCTTCACGCGCGTCTCCCAGGCGTACCTAGTGCTAGGCAGTGCCACCCTCCGTCGCAAGTATGACCGCGGACTTCTCAGCGACGAGGACCTGCGAGGCACCGGTTTCCGACCCTCTACGAAGCCCGCAGGCGCCCCGGATCCGCCGCGC